CAATAATCTATAATCATTAACAGTATAAACTGCTGTGTTACTCTGGGTCGTACCATTAGTGTCCCTGTACGGGGGGTGCGTCTCCAGCCGGCTCCTTCCTCTTCCTGTTGACTCAGTGGGGCAGCAGCTCCACCGGCTGCTGAGAGCGGAGTAATAAAGTACAGTGCACTTTAATAGCCCAGTCATAACCCCGAGGTTTGCTCTTGTTGGTATTGATTGTACCATAAAGATTCCTCAGTGCCACTCTGTCATTAAAGATTTTACCTCAATAAATAAAACCGTATGAACTGTTTTTATTTATTATACTTCTGTTGTTTTTTGTTTGTCGGGCTGCGGGCGTACTCAAGAGTTTTTATTGTTTCTTACAGTAGAAAATCTCTGTCGTTAATAAAATAAGTTAAATAAAGGTTTTATATTCAGTAGTTTGATCTGTGACGGTGATCTGCTGTGTCTCCGTCAGCTGCTGTCCTTCGCCGCCTTCATCCTGGAGGAGGTCGTCCTCAGCTGCGTCAGCTGCTCCGCCCTCTACTTCTTCGAGTTTGTCAGCTGCACGGCCTTCCTCTTCACCCTGCTGCTCCTCATCCTCCTCTCCACCACCCTGCACACCCGGGTGGGCATCACCTGCTGGTCCAGCCTGGTAAGGATCCACTCTCATTCTTCTGTTTCTCTGAGTTACACTGACAGACTGCACTCTGGTGTCAGCGGACGCTCAGCATAAAGACCGGAGGCGGGAACAGATCGGTTAATCATTCACAAAATGAAACCAGAGAACCAGAGCAGATTGACTTTATCATTTAATCCACCTAGCAGCACCTTTTAGTCCCTAATGAACATCGATCTCTTCGTTTCTCTTGTACAAACAGCACTTCACCGTCTAATGGAGCCGAAATACGGTTTCTCAGAGTCTGAACACAAACTTATTTATCATTCAGAATAAATGAAAAACCATCAAACTGAAAGGCCACAGGTCTCTCAGGTGCTTTTGTGTCGCGATGATCCGCTCAGGACGACTTTGCTTTCCACTGTCCTCGGTTTTTATAGTGAACAACATATTGGTGGTGAACAGGGCCGGAGTCAGGCTGACAGTGGAGCGCCCTCTGCTGGACCACAGTGCTAACTACCTCCAACCGTTTATAGACTGAACACTGATATGGGATCAGAAACAATAGCAAACTAATAAAAGTCTTTATTTAGGTTGTTGTGGTGACATACGTTATAGATCACACACCATCAGGTTATTTAAACATTGTGATAAGTTCACTGTGTTTCACATTAAACAGGAACAGTAACGGAGCGTAAACAGTTGATGAGGTGCAGCTCCGTCACTCAGAGCCGGTCTGAGCCGGTCTGGCTGCTGTAGGGTTGCGGAGGTCGAGCGCTTTGTGTTCAGCTTCCTGTTGTTGCTTCATTGTCCCGCTGACTGGACGTCACCAGTTCACCTACAAAGGAACAGACCATCAGTCCTCCACTGATCGTTACTGATCACACTTCCTGTCCAACACGTGAGGACAGGGCGCTGCAGCGGCTCAGTTATCAGGTTTATACTCTTCACCTCGCTTTACTTTAACGACCTTATTTAGACCTCCGCAGGCGAATGTGTGCGAGTGAAAATCATCCAAAGGATTCAAATACTTTCAGTTGTTCAGTCGGTGCTCGAAGGACGCCGGTAGAGTTTAATGCCCAACAACCACTTCCTGTCTCCCAAGAAAT